CTGAAATAAATTACAACCAACATGGTCAGCCAACATTAAGTGAAATAAATTGCATCTAACATGAACAGAAATAAATTGCATGCAATAACCATATACCTTATTGTGTTCCTAGTACCCATTTTGAATAGGGGTGAAGTGCACCTACAAATCTCCAAAGCCAACATGATCAACCATGCTCAAAGGGTACTCATGCAGTACTATCATTGCACTAAGTTCCTTTCTAGCTACATCCTGATCAAATATGTAGTTCTCCACTGAAACTGTGCCAACATCTGTTTTACCAAATCTCAAAGATGCTTGGGCCATCGTCTTCAAATTGAGCTTGAGCTTCCTTTGCACACAACCCTTCAAATGAACATGAAGGTGCTTAGTACCATTTGTACTTGTCGCAGAAAAGTTGCTTGAAGCAATATATGCATTTTGCTTCGGATCACTTCACTCTCTTGAACTCTGTCCAAACAAATGATGTGAGCTTCCTCTTAGAACCAGCTTCCACACCATCTTCCTCCTCTACTTCCATGTCATCATCATCTATATCAATTCTGGCATTACCGGCATTGACTCATTTTCGATTCAGGTTGAGGGATGCAAACAGAGGAAGTGACTCAAACATGCTTGTGAAGCTTGAGACAAAAAAGGAGATTGACCGCCACTAGCAATAGACATTTTTTGAAACATTATGAAACATACATTCACATTATCGAATCGATGAAAATGCTAAGAAAACCATACATTCACATGATAAGCCCATATACATTCACATAAAAATACAGAGTGCTAAGAAAACTATGAAAGTGTGATTTTTATTCTACAAGAACCTAAAAAAAATAATAATCCATTCTCATGCATAGGATGCAATAAAATGATCCTAGCTAAACAAACCTAAAACTAACTAGCCAAGTCTCCAATGCTAATAAACGAATGTGCGAATCGAAAATATGATTCCTTACCTCAAATGACGCATGCGATATTGCGACCGACAACAGTTGTAGGAGGAGAAATAGGCGGTTTCCTTGCCGATCCAAATGACCGCGAGCAGCTTGATAGGGCGCCAGTTCATTGCTTTGTCGTCGGCTTGACGGCGTTGGTTCCTCCTTTGCCGTTATAGGCTTGACGAGGCGCCGATTTGGCACCGCCCATTGGATCTCGAGGGTCGACGACGACGGGGAATCGAAAAGCGTAAGAGGAAGGGGTGTAGGAGCACCCGGCGGAGATGTAGTCGGTCCTTTGATTTGCGTCCTTGTTCGGAAACGGTGCTCTCGACCTCGAGCCACGACGTCGGGGTCGGCGATATTCCCCTTCGATACGCACGCGGGAGGGGTCGATGAGGTGCTAGAGTCGTAGAGTAGCTGCAAGTCCATGATAAGGTTACTGAAGAAGAGGAAGAAGCATCACCGGCCGTCGTCGTTGGCGCCGCCGGTGGTCACCTCATGGCCTACTTGACAAACTTCTGAGCTCCTTGACTAGCAGAGGCACGGAGCTTGGGGGCAGCGCGTCAGCGTCGAGCTAGGGATTGGAGTTGGGGATGTCGCGATTTTGCTTGGGGATGGGGATGGCGGAGGGAGGGAGTGGCGATGGAGGTTGGAGGAAGCCGCTGGGCCTGGCGGGCGGCTCCGCTCGCCGCATCAACCTGGGCTGCAGTCTGGCGAGCTAGCTCCGCTGCCTCATGGCTGAGTCGCTTGGGCTCATGGTCAACAGTGGAAAGGAGGAGCGATGAGTGGGAAAAGGGAAGGAGTGAGGTGATCTAGGGTTCCAAATTTCCAATCCTATTTATACTTCTTATTATTGGGTCAATGAATCAGATTACTTGGGCTACATTACACATTGGAGCCGGTAAAATAAACCCATGGGTTTGCGGGTATGGGTACACTAGGGCGCTGCCAGTACTAAAACCGATGGGGGTATGACTTAGTTCCCATTAACAAACCCATGGGCATGAACATTGACCCATGCCCGTGCCCTAATGGGGTAAAAACCCATCGGGTTTCGGGTCGCGGGTACCCATTGACATTTTGACGCTCGACCGTTTGGTGCCCGTACCGCGTTTGGAGCCGTTGGGAGCTGGGCCACGCCGTGCGGTGCGCCCTCGGCCTGTGGCCAAAGGGATAAGGCTGCGCTGCTCCCTTTAAAAAAACTCATCCGCGGGGTGACATTCCACGGGTATTTCATTAAAGGCGGGGTTCGCTGTGAGGGATTTGGAGGAATCTGTAGGAATTTATGAGAGAGTGAACAGTGTTTTTCATCTGCGCACAGTGAAATCCGGCTGGTTTCTCAACCAGCCGAACGAGCCCAAAAAAATCTTTTCACACAGATCGAAAAAAATCTCAAATCCCGACCCCACCCATATACAGCGGCACCGCATCCCCGTGAGATGGGACAGCCACAGACCTGAACTTTGGCATGGGATAGACGAGAGGATTTTTTTACCCACAGGCCTAAAATTCACCCCGTGAAGGGGTCGAACTCAGGACCTGAGGGGTGCCGCAGGAAGCGTCAACCAACCGGTCTAGCTTCCGTTGGCGCGCTGCTCTCTTCCCTTCTCCTCTCTGGTTCCTATTCCTTATTCTTGCATCCTGTGAAACAAAAAAAAGAGAACAAGCTCTCTCATTCTCCTGTCTTACTCCTAAGCATTTGTGTTATATTCAAGTGAGTGATCGAGCTCTAGTGTTGATCTGAGAGCTTCAAGAGCGCATCTCCTCTCTCTCCTCTCCTTCCTCAAGCATGGTGCTCATTTTTAGAGGATTTGAGGGAATCCCTAGTGTGTGTATTTGTGATTGCATATTTGGTGGCACTAGGTGGAGATTACAACTGTGGATTTCTTGTGACTTTTGGTGATTGCCGTCACCTAGACAGTTGGTGACTTGTTGATTGGTTTGGGAATTTGGTGATTATGTCCGCCTCCAATCAAGGATTTCATTTATAAGGGGTTCTTGACCTTTCTCCGGCGGAGAGCCAAAATGTACTTTAGTGGATTGCTCGTGGCTTGTGTGATCCTCATCTTATGTTGGTTTTGCGGCACCCGATTGCGGGTTAGGCGTGTGATGCCTATTAGCGTGAACCTCCAAGTGTGTGTATTGCCATAACGGGGACTAGCTTACCGGCAAGCAAGTGAATCTCGGAGGAAAAATCATTGTGTCATCTTGTCTTCAAGATTTTTATTGATATATTGATTAATTGTCACTTGCCACGGCATTATATATTTCTACCTCACTTGCATTATTATTCTTTGTTATACTTGTCATGTGGTAGCTGCTAGTTTCTTTGCCTAGGCTATTTGTAACCTGTTATAATCGGTTGTAGCTTGCTGAAACCGGTAGCAACTAGTTGTAACCAGTTTTCTCACTGGTTGTTTAACTTAGTTGAAACCGGTTGCAGCTAGTTGGAACCAGTTGTACCTAGTCACAACCGGTTTTCTTGCTAGTTGTTTAGCACAATTGTAACTAGTTGTAACTAGTTGTTTTATTCTTTGCTAGCTTGTTCACTAGTCATAGAGAGTAGCAACTTAGCCATTGTGTGACATAGAGATTATATCAACTAAAATTGTGGATAGGTGGCTTGCATTTTTAGTAGGCTAGCGCAACACTCGCTTCGCCACTCATTTATCTAACCTCTTGTCTTAAGTGTTGTAGAATTTTAAAATAGGCTATTCATCCCCTTCTAGCCATTTCGGCCCTTTCATGGGGGGCACGGCCCGGGGCGCCGAGGGATGGATCACGCTGGGGGCTGGTGGTCGTGGCGCGCAGCGCACGCCTAGGGTCCTGCGGAGGGGGCGTACTCGTCCTCATGCGGTCCTGGCCCCGCTTGCTCGGAGAGAGAGGAGGGGGGAGAAGGAGCGGCAGGTGCGGCAATTCTCGCGGGCGTGGGCATCTAGACTCACGGAGAGAGAGGGGGAGGTCAGGGAAAGGAGCGGCGGGAGCGGTGTTTTTCCACAGGCGCGCGTGACAGAGGTGGCGCGGGCGTCCGGACACGCGCTTTTGTCCGGACGTCCGGACGCTATTATCTCCCCTCATATATATATGATATATTTGTACCGAGAAAGACATGTTTTTATATAAAATCAGCAAAATAATAATTATATTAGTTATTAATAAATAAAAACAACTTTTTTTTTTTGGAAAACGACTGATTCTCCGTAGGATGGCAAGTTCCTTTGTGAAACTGGATCTTAAAAGGGTCCTTGTGCAAGAAACTGTAAAGCAGGCCCCCATTATCCTATGTGCGCGCGCCTCATAATGTAGGAAGACAAGCCCAAACTTGAAACATGGCCGGCGGCCTTCGATGGCCACAGTGAGATCGTGGGCCGAGTGTAGCTCATGCTAATCAAACCTTTTTTCATTTCGTTCTATATCTTTTTATATGGGGGATTGTGGGGCCAGAACTCAAACATCAGTTTATTATTACCGTTGACTCATCGACACAAGCAGGGAAACAGACAAACAAGTTCAGCACAGGAGTTTACGTTCATCTCTGGCGAAATTTCTCGATCAAAGAGCAAAACGTGACCCGGAGAAACGGTGCGCGCGCCTCGCTAATGGCAACTCAAGTCTCCAATGCTAGGACGGCGCCGGGATCAACGGCGGCCGTCGGTCGCCGGAGGCGTGGAGGAGGTGAGTGAGTGAGCCCGGGCCGGCGCATCTTCTCAGCTGGCGGGGGTTGGTTGGAACGTGGGCAGGACTGGCACACAGCACGCACCCCCCACCGGCCCACATCATGTATGGACCGACGACGCCACACCGTGCGCGGACACGTCATCCTTATTCACCTCCACTCCACGCGCGGTCGGCGCAGACCCACACCCTCGCGGCCTCACCTGCCACCTTCCCTGCAGTTGCAACTGCAGTTTCTCCTGCAACTGCCAAAAGAAAGGAGCATCTATATCTATATATATACACTGACATGTCCCTCGTCAACAGAATGCAAGAGGAGCATCAGCATCGCGACCTGCCTCCAGCAGTGAACTGCCTGCCAACGCCAGCAGCACAAGTCACCGAGCGACGGACATGGACGAGAAGCACGCGCCGTCGCCGTCGCCGTCGCCCATCCAGAGGAGCCTCTCCGCCGTCACCTACTGCTGCGGCGCGTGCGGGTACGACCTGCGCCTGCGGTCGTCGGACCGCAACACGGCGGGGATCGTGGGCGCGGCGTACGGGCGCGCGGCGCGGCGCGGGGTGGTGGCGTTCGACGCCATCGACGACGCGCGGTTCGGGCACGCCGACGAGTTCCGGTGCGTCGACCTGCGCGCGCGCCGCCTCTTCGTGCGCCGCACCCGCCTGCTCTGCCGCAAGTGCGGCGCCAGCCTCGGCTTCGGCTACGACGACCGCGGCCAAGAGGGTGGCAGTCCCCCGCGCTACGACATCAAGATCCGCGCGCTCCAGCCCCTGGCGGCCGACGACGACGACGACCACGGCGACGCGGGCGCCCCGCCGTCGGGTGCATGAGCAAGAAGCTTCCGCCGATGCGCTGTGCGCCTGTGCCGATCTTTCTTCCATCCTCGGTGTCTGTTTCCTTCACGCGTTTGCTGCTGTTTTTTTTTTCCTCTGCCACAAGTCGCTGTCGCTCGCGGTCATTAGCGCCTGCAAAAGTCGCTCGCTTGCATCTCAAGAAATGTACAGATTGGAATGGTGTCATTTTCTTTGTGATTTTTTATTCAATTCATCAATCAAGAGAAAAAAAAATAAGGGAATTCGTTTGGGTGGCCGTGGTGGCTAAGAGCAACTCCGGCAGGGCTCCTACTTAAACCCCCATAGCTAAATATAGGGTCTCAGATCAAAAATCACTCCAGCAGAGCCCCAACTATGAACCCGAAATTTGTTGGCCCAACGAATTCCACCCTCCAGACCGCATCGCTGTTGGGTCTCGGCACAGCCCCGAAACGGCAGTTTCTGTTCGTTTTCCCCGCGCGCGTCGTTCCCCAGTCTCCCGCTCGCACGCGACTCACTTTTCCCCATGGCGCGCCGCTAGGGTTCGTCGCTTGCCGCAATCCTCCGCAACTCCCCGGCGGCGCAGACTCGCCCCACCTCCACGGCTCCCCGGCGGCGGGGACTCACCAGGGCCCCGTGACTCCCCGGCGGCGCAGACTCACCCGGCCTTCGCGACTCCCCGGTGGCGCGGACTTGCTCGGCCCCCGCGACTTCCCGGCGGCGCGGACTCGCCTGGCCCCGTGATTTCCCGCCGGCGTGGACTCCCCAGCGACTGCGATTCCTGTCCCAGTCCGCGCCCACTCGTCGTGGACGCGACGCGAGCTAATCTGAACACCTCCGCTATCTGCTCCACGGCACCGTCGTCGGTCATCTGTTTGTGCGGTGCAGGTATGCCTCGCTGCCTCTGATTTAATCTGTCCTATGTTTAGCTTGCTCCACGGCACCGTCGTCGTCATAGTTATTGGCCTGCGGCTTGTCCTGTGTTTGGATTTAACGAATATTGTATCATGTGATTCGATTTCATCGATTGATTGGTTCTCTGAAGTGTGTGTGTGGCCGAGATATACATCTGGGAGGTACTTTTGCCTTGCTAGTAGTATGCATGTCAATCAAGGATACGTGTGTGTGGCTTCTTGAGCATTGATTCTTGTCTGATGACTATGTTTTGCTGAAATTGTAAATTAATATGTGACAATGATACTGCAGATGGTGTTCACCGATGATGAAGATGGTTTTTTTGAGCAATGGTGGGAGGAAGAAGAATCGGACGATGATGATTTGGTTGCGCTGATGCTTTGCTTGCTGAGACTAAGAAAGGAGTCATAATAAGAAGCGTCGTTGTGGTTCAATGCCTAGTCGTCAAGTGGTGCCAAGAGACATTCATGCTGGTAACTCGCGCATTGTTGCAGATTATTTTGCAGATCCTCCAATTTACAATGACAGATTCTTTCGGAGAAGATTCAGAATGTCTAAACCATTGTTTTTGAGAATCGTTCAAGGAGTTGAGGCACATGATGACTATTTCAAGCAAAGGCCAAATGCAGTGGGGTTGCTTGGAGCAACTGCCCTTCAGAAAGTGGTTGGAGCTTTTAGGATGCTAGCTTATGATGTTCCTGCAGATTCTATGGATGAGGTTGTGAGACTTGCTGAGAGTACTATGATTGAGGCTTTCAAGCACTTTGTTCGAGCAGTGGTTGATGTTTTTGGTGAGCAATACTTGAGGCCACCCACTGTTGAGGATACTGCAAGGTTGCTAGAGATGAACAACAAAAGGGGTTGGCCAGGTATGCTTGGATGCATTGACTGTATGCATTGGAGGTGGAAGAATTGCCCAACTGCATGGAAAGGTGTGTACACATGACATGTGGATGGTCCAACTATGATCCTTGAAGCGGTTGCATCGGAGGATTTGTGGATTTGGCATTCATTTTTTGGTTTACCAGGATCACTTAATGATATCAATGTACTTCGAAGGTCTCCCCCTTTTCAGCGACTAACTTCAGGAACTTCACCTCCAATTGAGTACACTATGAATGGCAATAAGTACACCATGGGTTATTATTTGGCAGATGGGATCTATCCTTCTTGGGCTACATTTGTGAAGAGCTACAGAAATCCACAGGATAACAAGAAGTCTCACTTCACACAAGCTCAAGAAGTGGCTAGGAAGGATGTTGAGAGAGCATTTGGTGTTCTACAGTCACGCTTTGCCATGATCAGGGGTCCAGCAAGATTTTGGGGCAAGAAGATGCTATGGTATATTTTGACAGCATGTGTGATCTTGCATAATATGATAATTGAGAATGAGAGAGATGACGATGATGTTGGGGGATATGACTATGATCAGGATGGGGGTGAGGAGTTGAGGAAGGAGGAATACCAACGCCGCAATCCAAATGTGATGTCCGAGTTTCTCAGGATACACAAGGAGATTGAAGATAAAGAAGGACATGAGAAACTCCGAAACGATCTCGTGGAGCATTTGTGGGCGCGACATGGCGCAAGTTAATTATTTTAGGGGCTACTGCTTGAGTTCAGCCCAGAAAACAGGGACCCCAAAAGTAGGGGAAGCACCCAAATGAAAAAATAGGACCCTGTTTTTGGGGCTACTGCTGGAGATGCTCTGACCAGACCAGCCTGGCCCTGGCAGACAACCAGCAAGCTCCCATTCTCCCAATATAAAAAGTCAAAAGCTTTTGTCAAAAGCTTATTGTGCCACTCCGGCTGAACTTGCTAAGCAATCGCAATTTTCAAATGTTGCAACTTGAGCCATGGAACAACGCGGCTCACTGACTCACTGGTATGCATGCACCCGTCATCGGTTTATGTACCCGTTGACCAGCTGCGAAGACAAAGAGTCCGCTTGAGTTTATCGGTCAGAATTAGCCAGTCCAGAAAACAGTATTTTTCTTACAATAAATCAGCCATACAAATCAGTCGGAACCAAAATAAGTTCTACTAAACAGAGCCAAAACCGAAACTTCATTTCGAGCATCGGATTCTACTCCCTCCGCAAAAAAAATACAATTCAAATGAGTAGAAGTTTAACTGATTTTATATAGAAAGTACTTACTAATATTTATCATACTAAATAAATAGTATTAGATTTGTCCTAAAATATAATTTATAATATACTCCCTTCGTCTTAAATTATAAGTCGTTCTAACTTTGTCGGAGAGTCAAGGCATCTCTAATTTGATCAAAATTATAAAAAGAGTTACAAAGACTTATGACATCAAATAGGCATACTATAAAAATATAATTAACAAAGAAACTAATGATAGTTATTTAGTATCATAAATATTATTATTTATTATATAAATTTAGTCAAATTTGAGATGCTTTAATTCTCCAAAAAATTAAAATGACTTATAATTTGGGATGGAGAGATACTTATTTTGAGTAATATATACTCCATCCGTCCCATAATACTTGACTTTCTATATTTCTACGCTTGCCCCAAATTAGCCTCCATTTTCATTTCTCAACTTTTCTCAATATATAATCTCTCTTCCTCTAGTTTTTATGCGCTACACTTTTTTTCACTACTCAATACTCGTGCTCAGAGCTAAAACTTCTATTATGGGATGGGACCGATGGAGCATATTGATATATTTCCTATAAAATTAGTCAAACTTAAAATGGTTTGACTTATGATTTGACTCGTGTAGAACGAACAGCCTGTTTGTTTCGGTTGAAACGATCGTGGATTATAAGCCAAAAGTACTGCTGGCTGGTTTGGTGTGAGAAAAAAAATACTGTTCTAGCTTATAATCCACGATCGTATAAGCCGAAACGAATAGGCTGGAAGATAGTATGCTGTAGTTAGATTGAACCAAGAGCCAGTGACCTTGTGTCGAGTTGATTCGTGAGCTGGGACTGGGAGTAGGTTCAACTTTTCCGTCGTCAAGTTCTCTTCTGGAGCTGTATATAGCTTCTACTCCTACAACTGATACCATGCATAACTACGAAAAACGTTGGCCATCCAAGTAGAGTCTGAACTTTCCCTTGTGCAGGTCTCAACAAGTTCAAGAATCACCCACTGGACCACAGCTAGCCATACCTCCCTGTCTCAACAAGCTCAAGAATCACCGGACCACAACTAGCCATACCTCTCCGTGACTATCAACGCCAGCACTTTGGAACTTATAGCATTTTATTTAAAGACGGTACTACAATTGCACAGGACACATGAGCACGAGGGTTCGCTACACCCTTTTATTCTCCCTCGTCTTTCTTTTAACGAAGTTTCTCCCTTTGTCTTTCAGCAAAGAGGACAGACCCACACCCCGTTACCCACCCCATGATAAAACTCTGCCTATGTCTATGCAGATCAGTACCAAGTGGTTGGGCCAAGCATACCATTGGGCCGCAGTTTGCAGTGGCAGTGTGGCACTCGTCTCCACAGCTGCCTCCCACCGCAACGGCCAATGCCACCGTCATCTTCTCCGCTATCAATATCATGCAGGAACCATGGCGAACGGAAGGGGTGGGTGTCATCTGATCTGGGTGACAAAGCGGGGGAGGAAGGATGCCAACATGCTTTATGGTGAGCCACAGTGTGTTGTGCCTTTGTGGGCAGCGGCACTTTGATGGGGGCAAGTTATGGCTCACTGTGTGGATATGGTCGCATGGGCCTGCCAAGTCCTTGCAGCTGCTCAGTGCTCACTAGTCCCGCCCAGACACACAGAACCTGACAGCGCGACTCCACGCCTTGCATACTTGAGGCAGAGCCTGCTGCGAAAGCAAAGATTCTTGCCTTGGGGAATAATACAACCTGAGATCCACATACGGTAATGAATGACATGATACATTTGGGGGTGGGAAATTGACTTGATGCTTCAATGCAATATGTGTTTGAGCTCAAGGATTTCATCTCAGAAATATTGTACATAGGAGTATGGACATAGTAGCTGAAAGAATCAAGATGCACAAGAGAAAGTGAATTAGGCTAATTCTAAATTTTTTATAATAATTAAGCTCTACATTTAGCTCATTTCACCTCTTGTGTCTAGAAT